TCTATCTATCTATCTATCTATCTATCTCTGTGCATTCGTTGTCACTGTGTGGTCCACATTTAGCTGAGACAACTGCCATTTCGTCAAAATGGACATCCTTTATTTTTGAACGAAATTGAAACCGAGTTTTTTGACCCAAAACTTGTCAAAATTTATTGTTCCTGAGGGTTCGGCGTTTGTAAAACGCTGGACCCCCTGGCTGTACATGGACCTAGCTTGTGCATGGTCTCAAGCTAGGTTCACGTACAGCCAGGGGGTTACAAACGCTGGACCCTCTTGAACAACAAATTTTAACGACTTTTCGGCCAAAAAACTAGGTTTCAATTTCGTTCAAAAAATAAAAAATGTCCATTTTGACGAAATGGTCGTTAGACAACAAGCAATTGAACCATGAATGACATGATTTTGGTGATCGCATTTTTTGGCACATAAAGGGGATGATGAGGTCATGCATGGATGTCGCATAAAAGTGTCGGATTGCAATTACATATGCCCAAACTCAGGAATGGCAGGGGGGAAACGCATGTCGTCATAAATGCCTCTTGATGCACAAACGTGTGGTCTTCAATGCTGTCCTCTTGTTGGAGTTTGGATGTCCGCAAATATTGCAAGAGGTGGAAACGAACATTCATGCTTCCTACGGAGCTGCTACGTTTTGCATTACATGACGTCTACTATTTTTGCTCATGAATTTTATGTCTTACGGGCTTTCCCTAAACAAAACGCCGACATTCAGCCAGCCACACACACACACACACACACAAACATTGTGAGGATTCAATAAGTGATGTCGGCGGTGGGAGAGAGGGACACATTGATGACGGTCGTACCAAGGCGGTGGTTGTGGACCTGTGGTGTTGCCGCCGGGGGGGGGGGGGCGTGTACGTGCCCTCTTTTCATGGGGGCACGGTGTCTGGGCTTATCTTTGCTGGCGGTCGCTCGGGGTGCGTCCATCGTGGGGTGTAGTGGGGTGGTGGCGGGTAGCTATGAATCCCCCCCGGAGCTGGCCATGCACGGCCATGAAAAAAAAAAAAAAAAAAAAAAAAAAAAAAAAGAATTCAAAAGTTTCTGAAAAAAACAATTGTTATGCAGAAAACTATATTGAACAACTTTTGTCTGGGAATACAATAAGAGAAAGTATATTATCTAGATCATTCTGGTGTGACCGCTAGCAGTGACTACCCCTGTCTTCCTGGGGGATTGACTGTGTGGGTACTGATGTGTGTTTTGGTGAGCTGGGCCTGCCTCTTCAGCCCCTTTCAGGGACCGCTTGATTCTGTCTGTGATTGCTAGCAGTCTAGCTATCATTCCTGTTGTCATCCCTCCTTGCAGTCTTAAATACAATCTGAGCACTCTTCAACCCCTTAAACCCTAAACCCTTCCTCCCGTTTTGCACCTGTTTTGCACCTGCTCTCACCTTCCCCAACTGCAAGTCAGTCTTCCGACCACAGATTGGCCCTCCTGGGGGGGCGCTTGTTCTCTGTTCCTTTTCCTTTCTTTTCATCTCTCTCCCCCGTACCATTCTATTCCTACTAGGCTGTTAGCGGGGGGCAGGAAGAAGTCTAGGAATTCATCAAATGGTCGCATTGGGATTGAGCTGTCCAGCTTGGTCCAGTCGTGGAAGAGGAGTCGGTAGTCTCTGGTTGTCCCCTTGTTGCCCTTCATCCTCCCTTGATCCCCTTTTTCCCCATTCCATTCCACCTTTCCTATCCTCCCCCCCGTTTGCCCCCCCAAGCCAGCTTTTGTTGAACTCTTGTATCCTTGTTTTATTTCGTTTTGTGTGTGTATGTGGCAGGGCCTTGACTTCTTCCCACCATACTGTTAATATGTTCGTGTGAATTTGTTGTTGTATACTTCCCGTAAACTCCGGCCCTTCCAACCTCACTCCTTTCATCTCATGGGTGCAGCGCTGTGTCCAAAGCGACATAGTATTGCCCTGCATCCCAGTTTGAACATACTGAGGGTAAGTCGTCAGGCTGTTCGACGGGCCATATCTTGAACAACAAGGCTTTCCAGTCCCATGGCCAGGGTGCTCCTGTTCCAAGCTGGTCCCAAACCCCGTCCCATCAGCGCCAGAACCAAACTGTTCTGGGGCATTGCAGAAAAAGGTGTTCTATTGTTTCTGTGTTTTTCCTTGATGGGAATGCATTGGAGCAGAGTCTGCACCAGGGCAGGGCGAGCCCTCTCTGTTCGAGTGTTGACCGGTCTATCAGCCAATGATTGGTTGGTAGGCACCAGGGCTCTACTTGCCATGAAAAATTCCTTGGTTTGTGTTGCCATGTTGATTATACCCAGTCCCCCTTTCGCTTTGGATTGGACTATTACCTGCCACGCAACCCTGTTGATCACGTTGCATTTTTCGTGGTCGCCTCACCATAGTCTCCATAGAAACGCGACTATTTGTCGTTGGAGGGAGCGAAGGACATCCTTGTCCACTACGAAACACCCGTGGACGTGTCCACGACTCCGCGGGGTCGAGCTCGGAGGGCGGCCATATTCATGTCCGCATCCGCGGCTGGCCTCGGCCACACCGCGGACATGAATTTGCACGAATTTTCCTAAATTAAATAATGGGTAAAAAAAAATAAAAATATATAGGGTTGTAGGGATTTTCAAGCCCTACAACCCTATATTTTCTTTTTTGGAAACAGATAATTTTTTTGAGTTATAAAAAATAAAAAACAGAAAAGGTGAAGAAGAGAAATAGAAAAACATATATATATATATTTTTTTGGGGGGGGGG